AGGTAAAGTCAGCCTCATGAATTCCAAAGGGATTCGGTTTTCACTATGAGACATCATAACTCTTCTAAATAAAAAGACCTTCTAACTCCCAGAGCACAGTCTAAATGGTCTAAATTTTTTTTTCTGGTTAGCGTGAGTTAGTTTTCTACGCGATGAGATCACTAATCCCATGTTCTACCCTCCCCCTTTATTCAGGCTTAGTACCGACAGTAACCTCAGAGGGGTTTAAGGTAGAGTTAATTGATTTACCACCACTCTTATATTCTTTCATTATAAAAAAAAATCGAATTCAATCAATGTTTTAAATTTCATTTTTACCCTTAAGCAACAAAAAAAATTTTTTTTCGTCCAATCTTTTACCCCTTTTGCAAAAAGAAAGAAAATTTTTCATTTTCTTTGATGACCAAGCACTTTTTCACATTAATAATAAAACAATCATAATATAGAACCGATTTCTTCTTTTTATTCTTCCCCTCAGTTTATTCGTTGGAAACGCGTTTTTTCTTGTTTTTTTTTTAAAAATTTTTTTGTATTTTTTTCTTCTCTTTTGTTTTTCTTTCGTTTTTTTTGTCTTATCCCATCTGTTACAAATTTCAATGAATAAAAAAGGGATAATAATTTAACAGAAATATGAATTAGATTAAATAGTAGAATGAATATTTCTTATTAAAGTTTGATCGGTTATGTGATAGATTTCAAATAAACTTATTTCTTCACAATTGATTGATCACTGGATGGTGATCAATATCATGCGTGTCAAGTCCTTATTTAGTGCAGATCGAATGCTATCGATCATGTTGCAATGTGGCCAGCAGTCTAGGTGACTCGACATTGCGGGCACTATATATTGAGATTAGTTGGTGGTTGGAGGTAGTCGACAAGAAACCCTGGACCCGGGTTTCGTGCTACTTGGCACTCATCGGTAAGGTGTACCTGTAATCTTGAGGGAACCGGTGCTCCCTGGCGGATTCGATCTCGTGTCAGCCAGCTCCACAGTCAGAGACGTTACCACTGAGCTATCCGAGCCGTGACTGACCTCCTGTAGGATTGAGATGTAACCACAATTGATTGATCACTGGGTGGCGATCAATGTCGAATCCACCAGGAAGCACCAGTTCCCTCAAGATTACAGGTACACTTTACTGATGAGTGCCAAGTAGCACGAAACTCGGGTCCAGGGTTTCCTGTCGACTACTTCCAACCACCATCTAATCTCAAACTTATTTCTTGATTAGATACAAATTGTATATACTGTAGTATAAAACATGGTAGAAAGTTATATGGAAAAATGGATAGTGGCTAGGACTGGAACCCAGTTTGACGCGCGTTTCATCCAGTTTGGGACACGTCAGCTGGATATACTTATGTGATGTGTGCTACTTATATTGACATAAGTAGTATATGATGTTAGTCGTGAACAGAAGGTCTGGCAGCAGAGAGACAAGAGGATCGAACAGTAAAGAATGGAAACAGGATGCAATGTGTAAGAAAATGCAAGAACAATGAAGTATGAGTCATTATGAGACAATCGATGGACATTTTGCATTTACTTTATGATTGTTAGATTTTATTAACAAGTCCTGTTAAATGTATTCGATTGTCCCTACTGGTGTTCTTGTTCACTACACCTACATATCAGAGTTGATGTTCACTTTGGGACTCAAACCCAGTACAGTTCGCTTGCAAACTGACCACATTATTTACTTAACTACTGAGTTTTGATATCTACTTACGCCGAATGAGCTGAAGTTGAAATTCACATGGTATTGTTTGTTCGAATCTTCCCATTGATGTTCAGGACTACAATTAATCAGTCTGTCATTGGCATATGTGCATACTGTGCGTATTGCCGCGATAAAGTCTTAATTCACAAGCATTATATGCAAAGATGAATAGCGAACGGTACTGAGTTCGAGTCCTAAAGTGAACATCAACTCTGAGATGCACGTACATCCAGCTGACAAGTCCCAAATAGGACGAAGAGGTGCGCGTCCTGGACTCCACTGCTATCCACTATACCAACTGAATGTAATAAAAAGTTGTTTATTTCATTAAATTCAATCATTTAAACCAAAAATCATTAATAAGACAAAATGACATAAATGGTGACAATGAATTAATGATTTCCACCTTGAATTTCTTATAATTAAGATGATTTTAATGTAGAACGAGTTTTTTTCAGAAAATTAAAACAAGAATAGAAAGAGATCTGATATTAGTTTTATTTTGATTGAGATCACGAATTGATCAACGTTAGATTATCACTAGAAATTTGGAAACATTGGATGAATCTTTCGTCCTAGTATCGTACTCTTCAATAAACCATACAAACAATTCCGCACTCAGGAATCGGTTATATTTAGAGCTTAGATTCCTAATATGCCGTGTATAACTTGAGCAACTTGAACGCTAGAACCATCTCGAGTCAAAATTGAGAAAACAGGAGACAAGTGAAAGGAATGCTATTCTAAACATTGTCAAATATGACACAAAACTCTTAGGTATTTATAGTTTTTAGTAAAAATGTAGTGATTGTTATAGTCCTCCGATCCATATACAGGGGGTTATTAGCATTTGCTCAACAGCGAAGCTACACGTACAGATTCTAAAATATTCCTCCAAAAGGTAATTGGATAGGACATCTTCGGCTCTTTCTGAACTTCTTAGATCTTCCTCGAGTTCATCCGTGAACCGTCCTCACAGAATCGAACCTATAACCTTCAGTCTCATGCGCGAACTTTTAACCACTGAGTGGACATTCGAAGGTCTTAATGTCTAACTTCAATCAATCCATTTTTTAGAAAAGTTTAAATGCTGTTAAATGAAGTGAGACTTTTTGATTGAGATCATGAACCGATTGATGTTAGACCACCGTTGGAAACATAGAGGCACTGGATGACCGTTTCGTCCTATTGTGCGATTCCTCAGAAGTGTGCACCTACGATCCCGCTCGCAGGATTCGAACCACATACTGAAATGAGATTATTTAACTTTGAAGCAAAACCACTTTTAAAAGTGATTTTTATGTGTAACCAATATAATCTCGAAAGTCTATGAAGATAGATACCAAGTTTTTATCTGAAAAGAAAGAACTTGAAGAAATCTCTGATAATAGAGTTATTCATAATCCTGGAAATCTTTAGATTTTTTCGAAGAACATAAAGAAGGTTAACTATTGAAAGACAAATTATCATAAATTATTTATAGTTGTGAAATGATAAATTTTCGATTACAAGTCGATTGACTGAATCGATTGATTAGTTAGTTATCCTAATTGTCGCATATCAAAACGAGAAGGTAGTCAAGAGTACTCACAAATGAGAATTTTCAAGCATACATTAGAACGTCGGAAAGTTTCAAAAGTTCTACAAACTAACAATGATCTATAGTGAGAGTTTGTAATTTCCAGTTGTTGATTTTCAAGACTAAAATTGATCATTTTGTGTTCCTATATATATATCTATCCTGAGAAAATTGGTTCTGAATAACCTTTAATCAAATATATTAGAAACTTGAGATTAAAAATTATTTTGAGGTAATCGTCGCCAGATGAACATACAACAATAGACAATGATCAATTGAAGTCCTGGAGTTCAACAACGGGAAGTTACAAATCCTAACGAATACCTTCACACTCATTAAACAAGTTAATGACTATCTGGAATCAGTAAGTTAATGGATAATTCTCTGATTTTTCAAACGAAAGGTATTGAGTTCCAATCTCATTGTGAACATAAACAATGGGGTCCACAGGTACATCTAGTTTATAAGTCCTACATAGAAGGACACTATAGCTATATATTTTGAATTCATTAGTTCGAATATGTCGTCTCTCGATCAATGAGATGGTTCATCTTGACATTCAGAAACGTTATTCAGTCAGATTAAATCAACAGTAACAACTCTGACTATGAAACTGGAAGACATGTGTTTACACTGCAAAGGGAGTTTAAGTTCCATAAATATTATAGATATACCTTTTTGGTAAGTGTTCACTAGCATGAAACTAGAGTTCATGGAGTGAGACTATAATTTATGGACGATCTTTCAGCGACACTAAAGTAACCTTTAGAGTGTCCATTAATGACTAGGATTAAATGAGGGTTATAAACTTACGTAAGGAATTCGACTTATGATTTACAGTTGATGGTTAAGGTTAATAATTAGATTTAGGGTTTTCATTCCTAACTGACATCAGCTATAATGCTATGAATCTGTTTAACCAAATGAATGAGTGAATGTCGCGCCAAAATCCAAAACCTAATATCTCAAATCCGATTGGTTCGTCCAAAAATTATAATCTCACCGTTCATGTCTTTTGGTCAATTGTCTCCAACTATCTAACAATAAAAGATGATACACTTACTTTCTAATCATTTAGTCTAGTTCCAAACATGAGTTCGATTAAAACTATGGATTATACAAATATGATATTATCAGAAGGGGTTTTGTGGATACTATAGTAAATTTTAATAATTGAGATCATGAGTCAGTTGAAGATAGATCACCATGGAAAACTTGGAAGCACTGGATGGCCGTTTCGTTCTATTGTGGGACTCCTCAGCAGTGCGCATCTACAATACCGCTTCGCGAAATTCAAATCCAGAATCTATCAGTCTCGCGTGCGAGCGCTTAACCACTAGACCACTGAGCCGGCCGGCATCCAACGGTTTTAATGTCTAACTTCAACTAATCCACGAAATTGAGCAACACATCCATCATTGTCTTCAGTGAGTTACTATCTGACAACAGACCTGGTTGAACTCCACTAGTCACAGCTCCCCACTAGGACTCCACAAGATACCTCGTGAAGCCAGTCATTAGTGAGCATATGGTGAATAATATCAGAAGGGGTTCTGTGGAGACCGCAGTAATTTATTAATTGAGATCATGATATTAGTTACTTTCAATAATCTTTGTATTTGTATATTTAACTTTAGACTATTTAGTACAGAGTATCAATCAATTGTAATCAGTTCTATTACATAATAATCATGGGTATGATAACAACAAATGTATTAGAAGAATCTTTAAGTTTTGGACCTTTACCAACAAGTTTAATGATAGCTGAACCAGCATATTTAATTGCACAAACAACAACAGATCGATTATCTGAATTACCAACAATCTATGTAAGTTAATTTCTATGAATTACTTTCGATGAACTTATCAAATTTTTAAATTTATATTGTAAACTGGATTAGAGGAATTATGATGACACTTTGTAGTTAATAACGTTAGAAGATGATCAATATCATATACATATCAGATCCTTCTTAGTGTAGATCCAATCCTATCAACCGAGTTGCAATGTGACTATTAGTCTAGGTGACTCGATATTGTATGCATTATTTTGAAAGAAAATGGTGGTTAGAAAGTCTGACATATATGACATTGATCACCATCCAGTGATCAATCAATTGTAAATACATCTCAGTCCTACAGGAAGTCAGTTGTGGTTCAGACAACTCAATGGTAATGTCTCTGACTGTGAAGCTGGGTGACATGGGATCGAATCTATGAGGGAACAATAGTACTCTCTCAATATTACAGGTACACTTTACTGACGAATGCCAAGTAGTACGAAACTGAGGTTCAGCGTTTCCTGTCGACTACCTCCAACCACCATCTTATAATATTGTACTTCGCAACTAAACAATGTTAGTTTGAGCATTATTAAAAATTATGAAGTGGTTGATATATGTATGATGTAATTAAGTAGAATAGAGAAATGCATAATGTACATGTGAGTATATGTTGTAATTCGAGTTATTGGTCATCATCGTAGAGTAGTAATTTTTAAACATTTGAAATTTAAACCTTCTTACTGCAAACCATCCTCAATAATACAATATTATTATTAATACTAAAGTGAAGTGAAGTTGGTTACTATTGAAGAAATTCATTACAGTAAATTGAACAGATCAACAGTATTCAAAGTATAGATATTAGTGTAGGGAAGATCTAGAAAATTCCTCAAAAACTAGCCAACAAATGCTCTGAAGAAGCATAGTATCCAATCCGCATTCAATAGAAGTTTTGCCGGAAACATCTAGAAAGGGAAAAGTCACATATCTCGTTATCTGATTGGATGATTATTTATACTGCTACTCTGTTTAGTAGCGTTCCAGAATTTTTCAAAAGCTTAAGGCTATCTGAAATGTTATAAATACCCTAAATTTTCTGTGCAAAAGCTAACATTAGAGTAAAGCGTTGACGAGATACATCACTTTGTTTCCAATAGTCTAGTTATTTTGAATTATGCTCAATTGAGACAGATATCAATATTTATACTACTTTGGTAGAGGTTTATGAATTCATATCAAGATTAGTGTATGTATCTTGAGTGTTGTTAGAGGTATGAGGGTGATTATTACTTTCCGGTTGCCCACATCGTGGAAGGGTTCTTCCGGAGGTGCCTGAAAAGGAAATTGGATTAGAGGTGGTCTTAGTGACCTGAGAGCGTGACCACAGTGCCCAAGGGACAACTGCTTGAGGTCGGTCACACACGACCTTTTTATGGGTAATTTTTGTGTTAGCTCCGTATTTGTTGAGACCTTACCGCCGGAGATGGATATCCGTGGGATAAGGCGAGATGTGCATTTTTAGGGTCGACCTTTTCTAACCCCACCCCTCCTTGTGGGAAGGCAGCATCGCTTTCATGCTGGTTGTCTGAAGGAAACACCTTACTGCTGTCACACCTCTGTACAGTCAGCAGTACGACTTCGCCTTCGGACCTTGGGTTTGTTGCTTTTAGTCTTACCGTTCTTCAGCCGACCTGTCTGACATGGTAGGACTTTGAGGAACGGTTGTTCCAGCCAGTATAGCTCGGTCGCTTCATCACGATAGGCAAACCAGACCACCACGTCAAGGTAGCAACAACTGTCGGGTGTGTATGTGTGTATGTATTCATCAGACTGGTAAACGTACCGAGATCGTCATCTATTTTACTCATGTTTCATATATCAAACGGATTATGAACAGTTAGTCTATCCCGGATGAATCCATTTAAGAAAGCTATCAGTTCAAATACAAGGAACTGAATTTATGTAAACTGATTTACCTTAGTAAAGTATTCATCATTAGTACATTACTCTATAAAATTTACTTTAGGAATATAATACAATTCATATCTCATGAAAAGTAAGTTATTCTAATAATGATGGGTTAGAATGCATTTGTTTCATTTTCGAACTTTGTATTTTAAACTATGACTCATGCATCAAATAGATCTATGGTAATATGCTGTATGCTACTTATATTGAGATATAAGTAATATGAAGTAGTGATCGATAGTGGAATACCTCTTCAGCAGAAGTTTGAATTGAAGGGAATGGGAAGGGGAACAGAAAGTAATTAAAATAACAACAGAAGTGGTAAAGCTATGAATTATGTAAAGGAAGACTGATAGAAGATGTGTAAATAACGAATTTAATGTATGATTTTCATATTTCGTGAAGGCACTGTCTTAATTGGTTTACCCTCACTTGAGTTCTCATTCACTGTATTTTTCAGACATAGTCTTTCGAATCAATGTCCATTCGGATCCAAATCATCTTTTGTTCTGAGTAGATTCAGAAAATGTGATATACGTTTACTTCATTCTCATCAACATGCTCAAAACAATTAACAGTCGATTTGGTCTATAAAAGCACATTATGAAAGATGAACGAATGTAAAGTGAAAGTCTAAGTTTTTCTTTTTAATATTTTCACTGAAGGATACATTTTCTTTTGTTTCTCTTTCTCTATTCATACAATAGGCTGATCCTAAACGATTATCTGATCCAATACGTCTTATTGAATGGGTATGTAATCTACGTTGTGCTAGATGTCCAAGTGAACAAAATATGGAATTAGTTTATTGTCATCAATTAGGTCAATCATTCTATCGAACAACACGTAGAATTGAAGCTGGTGAAGAATTATTAATTTGGTTTCGAAGACAAGATTTACAACCATTAGTTACAGAATACTTGAATAATTTGTATATTTCCGAAGCATGGATAGGACATAGAGTAAAAGCAACGGATCTATTACAGAAAGATTATGAACAATTTGTAAATCCACATAAATCTTTCAATACAGAATATTGTAAGTTGTATTATGATGGTAAGAAGTATTAATCTTTTTTTGAAGAAAAGGTTGATAAGTTAAATTTACTCATAAACAAAGATGAATGATGACAAGGAGTAGAATTCAAGACGCACATTTCGTCCTATTTGGGACTCGTCAGCTGAATGTACCTGCATCTCAGAGATGAGATGATTTGCGATAAGACGGCTTATTCAAACATTTGAGCCATCTATTTTACCATCTATCTAACTGTTGTTAATATAGCCGTTTGTTTTAGATTTGTTTATATCCTGAATCACTATGAATGCTTACTTTATACAGTTAAACAGTTTTATGTAAATGATTACAAATTGTTCAGATTCTAAGTAGTAGAAAACTCAAATGGAAGCACTTTGTTTGAAGGTGAATGGCAGTATATTCACGGATATTAAGAGAAACTTGTTTCGATATTGCACATATGGTACTGAGAATTTCTTCTTCTTATTATTATTCTTTCAGCTTTATTCAATATTATATTTTTGGTACAATATAGAATTCTCAGCGCAAAGTATTTCAACAAGTTTCCATTTCTTTCTTCTTGATCGGTCCTGGCGATAAATATTGAGTGATCGCCAGTTAGATGTAGGCAGTTCACTAAATGAACATCTGAATAATGTACATTCTTTTCGTTGTACATTGCCAGCAACCATATTGTCTCTTATTGAGTTTTCTGTAACTTTGACAACGAAAGGTTGTACACTTTTCAGAAACGCAGCAGAATAGGTTATGCGATTAATAAACATAATGATATATTAAAACAAACAAAAATAGATAACTTGTTGAAATATCTAGATGGCAGGAACAGGTAGCCCAGATGCTCAAGCAGGCCGCCCTTTATAGACAGTAAGAAAGGTGATCATATTGAATAAGATCATTATTGGTATTATTGTTATTATTATTCAGGACCTGTTGGAAGCATGTTGTTGTTAAACTAACTTGTGTGTGTGTGTGTAGATTTGTAATTTCATTGAAGCTATGATATTATGTAATCATCATTTGATATTATGGGAGGGAAATATTTTACTCTATATATGATTAAAGCCCATTGCAGAACTCCTAGAATTCTTCTCAATCATGTTCCATTGGCCAAATGATTGAATAAAGTTGTAAATATGGACCGTTGGGTAAATATTCTGTGCCTAAAAGGTAGTGCGGTCATAGGTATGAACTGTTGATGTAACTTATACTAAGACAAAGTAGCTACAGAACGTTATTTAGATGACAATAATAATAATTTGATTGAGTTCACGAATCGATCAATGTTAGATCACCATTTAAAATCTGAAAGTACTGGACAGGCGTTTTGTTCAAGTATGAGACTCTTCAAAAGTGCGCATCCACAATCCCACACAAGGGATTTAAACCCAGAACCTTTGATCTCTAGTGTGAACACTTGACCTATAGACCACTGAGCTGACATCCAATCGTGTTAATGTTAAATGTTCGCGCACGAGGCCTAAGGTGCTGAGTCCGAATCTCTAGTGTAGGTTTGTGGATGCACAGTTTTGAGAAATCCCATACTTGAACAGAACGCCCGTCCAGTACTCAACAATCTTCACAACTCCATACTCATAATAATAATAATATTTTTTTAAATCAAAGACAATAAATTCAACTTTTACCTTTAACATTTAGGCAAATTTCAATGTTCCAGATGTCATGATGAATTCACTTACATTTATCCCTATATATCACATTGTTTATTTAAATGTCAAAAACAAACTATCATTCAAAGTATTCAATGGTTCAATCATCATAGATTCATAGAATCAAATGAGTTTCCTATTGAATTAACTAATAAATATACATATCAAAAAAATATCGATTTATTATTACATAACAATATGAATACACCATTAAATCAGAACAAATTAGATCATCATGAGAAGAACACAATTGAAAATGATGATGATGATTATGATGTTGATGATGATGATGAAGATGATGATGGTAATGATAATGATACACAAGTAACGATTGAAACTAGATCCAATAAAATAGAGGATCAATTACAGAAGGTGGGAAATATTGGGAAAATGAATGAATTAACATCTATGAAAAATTTCAATTCATTACATAGAAAATATTTACATAGAATTCAATCTAATCATAAAATTGTCGAACCTTTTAAAACATTAAAACAAACTACTTATATAGATAATAGTAGTAATAATTTGTATACTAAAAAATCTAAATTAAAAACTACATTATTACCATTAAAATCTCGTAATCCATTAGTTGAACAATTATTACAGACAATCATGTCACATAAAATAGATTCAAATGTTGAGAATAATTCATCCAATCTAATTTCGAATATGACATTATCATTAAAAAAACCAATATCATCAACATCATCATCGACGACGATGGCAACTATGACACTGACAACAACAACAACAACAACACACAACATCACCGTTAATAAGTAGTTTAGCATTAGCACAAAATTGGTGTGCACGTTGTTTTATTACATTTCGTTTAACTAGTGATTTAGTACATCATATGCGTACATGTCATAATCAAGGTAGTAAATATTCTAATGTAAAAGATCGTTTAGTATCACATCATAAAACAATGAATACAACTGATTTAATCAATAATAGAAAACAGTTAAGCAATGAGAACGATGATAATAATGAACTGGGTTTATTACACTGTAATGGGCAATCATCCATATCATCATTGACAACGGTTAGAACATCGCCACAAATCACAATAACAACAGCGACGACAACAACGACGACGACGACAACAACAACAACAGTACCATCTTATTGTTCAACATTAAACAAACCTATTTGTTCTTTATGTGGTGAACAATTTAAAGAAAAACATCATTTAACTAGACATATGCTATCACATACATAAAAAAAGATAAGTAGTTTATTAAAATTTGGTATCAATATTTTGTTACTTCAATATGATAGTTACTTGGATTATCACCATTTTCCATATTGATCTGTGAATACTAACAAGTTATTATTATTATGATTATTATTAGTGATGTACAAACATTGGACATGATGATTTACTTCTATTCCTATTCAGTTATTGCCTTCATAACATGATATTTAATATTAAGAAAGGACTTTAATTTCATTATATTCGTTTTGTAATTAGGAATAATTGTCATACTGTCTTTCTTGTATTCAGTGTTATTGAGGTAGACAAGAACATACAAAAATGAGGACAATCGAATGTATTTGAGTAAAACATTAAAGAATCCGTTAGTGAAATTTGTGAATCATACAGTGAATACTTCATTTGTAAAATGTCAATCAATCGTCTCAGACTTCATTGTTCTTTCGTTTCCACAGCAGTTATTCTTTGTTCGCGTTCTCCTTTCTTCGATCTTCTTTACCTTCTGTTTCACCAAGTATTTGATTTTCGACTGATGATACATACTACTTATATCTGTTGACATCAGTAGCACACACTGTACTATTGGAATTTTGCCTAACAAGTGAATTGATTTAGCTGTAAACTATTTACTTGATATGGTGGACAGTGATTGACTTAGATTTCTGGAATTCTGATGGGACCGATACTATTTAGGCGGTTCGAGTTTGTGTTATCAAGTATCACAGTAGAACGCCTTGTCATTAAGCCAGTAAGGTCATAGCTAACATTTTTTTCAAAGATAATTTCAAAACGATTTCAGTGGTGTTTTGAAAACTTTGTATAAAAAGTTGTGAACAGGAAGGAGTGGTAATTTCATAGTTATACTTACTTGCTTATGCCTGTTACCCGTCATGAAAGAGCATAGACCGCCCACCAGCACTCTCTATATAATCCTGTCCTCTGCAATCCTTTCCAGTTGTTTTCAGTTGCTATTCATCCTTTTGATGTCTGCTTCCAATTCTAGACCCAGTGTGTTTTTTGGCCTTCCTCTTTTCCGTTTCACTTCAGGATTCCGAATGGGGGCTTGCTTCGTGATACACTTAGGTGGTTTTCGCCATGTATATCCTACCCACTTCCACCGTCCTTTCCTAGTTTCCTCCTTGAATGGAAGTTGGTTAGTTCTCTCCCACAGTAGGCTGTTGTTAATGGTATCCGACTAACGAATATTGAGTATCTTACGTGGAAAGTTTTTTTATAAATTCTTGTACTTCTTTGATGATGGTTGTAGTAGTTCTACAAGTTTGAGCTCCATACAGTAGAACTGTCATGACATTCTCATTGAAGATTTTGACTTTGATATAGGTTGACAGTTGTTTTGAGTTCCATATGTTCTTTAAATTTAGGAATGCAGACATTGCATTTCCAATCCTTTCCTTTACGTCTGCATCGGATCCTCCGTGTTTATCAATGGTTTTGTCCAGATATGTGAAGGTTTCCAAATCTTCCAGAGCTTTTCCATCAAATGTAGCCGTGTCTGTTTTCTCCGCCTGTAGCTCTTCTAGAGTCACTGCCAGTTCCAAGCCTGGGTAATGGAGGAGGGTTGGGCATGGGATCTGCAACCCGATCCCGTTGAAGAAATCTTGCTAAAAACACGCCAATCAGATTTCATAGTTATATAAGGAAACAATACTTTTTATGAGCGGAATGTGATGATCTAATTTTAACTCTAGCAGTGTTAAACATTATTCCTATATATAGCTTGAAAAGACTGATGTTAGTTAATTATTTATAGTTCTTATCTGATAAGACTTTTACTTCAGATTTTAACTTGTACAGATCTGTCTCAATTTCAACGGACAGCAGATTGGTTTTTGCTCTCCTTCTGCATTCAGAAAGCTCCTTAGTTAATAGTTATACCGTGAGCGGCTAAAACGACAATTAGCATTTAGTGTTTGAATAGCAGGAGTTGGTTCTGATTTTAGCAGGCACAATTATGCGTTATGTTAGGTTTCTATACTACAATGGAACGATGAGACGAAATCGATAAGATGAACAATAAAGGGGTTTAAATAATGTAGTGGCAATAACAATGAGAGGTGAACATCTAACCCACACCCCAGGTATTGAAAAATGAAATAGTGCTAGTAATTTTATTAAAATCATGAACTCATCTAAGTTAAAACACCATTGAAAACTTGGAGGCATTGTGCTCACTAGTGACCAGATTCGATAGGACATTTTTGGGTTTCCAATGAGAAGCCGTGACCGATCGAGCTAATCCATGTCGGATATGAGGCAGTTAACCAACGGAGACAATCGAGGATCATCGCACAATGTCGTAGGTTGATTAAAGTTAGACATTAATATCTTTGGATGCCCGCTCAGTGGTCTAGAGGTTAAGCGTTCGCGTGCGAGACCGAAGATTCTAGGTCCGGTTCCAGCGTGCAGGATCGTGGGTGCACACTTTTGAAGAGTCTTATACTAGTCGTTACCATCGTACAGATTAACCATATTTTGGTACTAGTTTCCCTCATATGTTGCTTTTTAGTTCATCTAGAGCATAGACCTAAACGAACTAATAAACAGTATTTTGCAAGACAAGTCTCTGTGACAGCATTAAAGATTAAAACCTTGAAAGTTTCTATAATTATCAAACACCATGATTGTTATAGGGGGGATCGTGTAATGACGTCCTCTTTTCTACTGTATGACTATGTTACATGAGCTTTAAAAGTAGAGAGATACTAAACTTGCTATCAGTCAGTCAAAAATTTCATTTACATGATTCTTAAATGGTTACCTCATAAAGTCATATTGAACTTTCAGTAAGTGTATGGAAGTATCGAGAGAACTATGATAATGTTTATGAAAGTTTTTGTAACTGGGTAAAGGACCCAAATGTTTACTAATTGACAGCGGACCAATCAGACATCTGGCAAATGATAAGTCCACACAGTCGACCAAGATATGCATTGATGTTAGACCATGACTGAAAACCTGGAAGCACTGGATGGCTGTTTCGTCCGATTGCGGGACTCCTCATCGGTGTGCATCTACGATCCCGCCTCACGGAATCTGTGTCAGGTAGAGACAGATATGTACCTCAGCACAATGGAATAAGGTCGCGCGATTTCGTGAATTGGTTGAAGTTAGACTTAAACACCGTTGGACGCCGGTTAGATCAGTGGTGTAGAGGTTAGGCGTTCGCACGCGAAACCGAGGGACATAGGTTCAAATCCCGCCATCGGGATCGTGTGTGAGCACTATTGTGGAGTCTCATACCAAAACGAAACAGCCATCCATTGCTTCTATGTTTTCATTGATAGTCTAACATTGATCAATTCATGATCTGAATACTTTCTAATGCTTTTGAACTTAAATTGTCTATCACTATATACGTAAAATGAAATCTTGCAACAATGTAAACTGCAATTCCCAATAGTAGATGCCACCTACTATATATAATGCCTCAAACAAATTTTTATTAAAAAAATATACTACTTACAAAGTATATTTAATAGTATGTAAATTATGACTTAATTTTGTTCACCAAAAATTATAAAACAAGTATCCATCGTTATATTACAATGGAGAAATTACATTATTTTTTTTTCAATCAATGATCAGAATTCTATTGATTTTATTTGATTAATAATTGTTTGTTAATGTTTTATTTAACCATTCTTGAACATTTAATTGTCCTAAATATTTTCGATTATAACGTTTAAATTTATGATCCTGTTTTAAATGGATCAACCGTTGACTGAGATCAAGTGAAGGATCTACAATGAATTTATCATTTTTCTTCATCATAGTTTGATGATCTAGTTCTTTTTGAGATCTATATGAATCTAATTTATAATGATTCGATCTAGCTGATGAATCATTTATTTGATTGTTTATATCATTTGAAAGTAAACGATGAATAGGTAAGTATGATTTAGCACGTCGTCTAGTACGTTTATGTCGGTGTTTTGATTGTCTTTTACAGGATTGTTGATTGAATTGTATTCGATGTTGTATATTTGAACATTGAATATTATTATTAGTAGTATTATTATTCATAAATGTTTGCTCTAACGATGTCCTGTACTCATCGTTATGATTAAATCGATGATTTTTAGATAGATGATTTTGAATTATTCTTTCATGTTTAGTTTGTGGTTGACTTGATGAACGATGATAATAGTGATGGTTGTAGGATCTATGTCTGAAAAAAAAGAGTGAATAAATCAAGATTGACAATTGTTTAGCTGATGGAGATTGGTTAATTAATTTACATTATTAACAATCATATACTTAATAATGACTAATTTTGAGAAGTAACCGCAAGAGTTGTTTTGAGAAGCCATGATCAGTGAAGTCTAACTATTGTCGAATGTGAGGTATATACATGCTGATAACAGTAAGTGATGGTTATTCAATACGAGGAATTGATTGAAGTTAGAGATGAAAACCAGAAAATACTGAGTGAATGATCTTAAGGTCAGACTCCTACTTCAAGAAGGTCCTCTCTTCAATCCCCGGTAAGATCATGAATCGTCAATACTAAGAGGTTTTATTCTAGGACTAAACGTCTGTACAGTTCTGCCCAGTTTTAAATGGTTGATGATTAATGTTAACCGTGCGTTTAGGTCAGTTGGAAAATAGTTTATATTCCTGACCAGGATTATCTGAAGGATAAATGAGTGGGAGATAGGAAACGGAATATTTCTCTTTAGTGTGAAACTTTTTAACAGTGTACATTAACCATAACCCATAAAAATGAACTGACTTTGTGAAGGTTGACTATTAGACCAGGACTTCATGATCTATACGTGGTTATGTGCTCATCATGAGACTTAGACTTCGTAAATGATATTCTGTATCTTCTGATGACTGTTTTCCTAAACCAGAACAGAACACGTGTTTAGTACCCACTATTTTTCAATGATTTTCTATTTGAAGTTGGCCCATAATGAAGCTTATCGTCGAAATTAAAAGTTAACTCAGGATTTTATCTCAAAAGGATTGTTCATTGCTCTACA